AAAAAAAAAATATCCAAGATAAATTACAAATTTTTCGAAGGAAAACTTGATTCTCTGTCCCGGCCCCTGGCATCCCCCCCCCCCTTCATCTCGACGTTATTCCACAATATATATCTCGTGACGGAATACGCGTCTTATTTTCACGTTAGACGAGCTCTTAATGTAAAAACACAGCGAAAAGGGATTCTGGCGACGCGAGCGCGAAATAAAGATTTCGCGGAACGAACGAACGAAACGTTGGAATGCGGATTCGCGAAACTTTCCGTAAGGAAGAAAGAAAGAGGCAGACAAAGAGAAAAAGAGAGGAGAGAGAGAGAGAGAGAGAGAGAGAGAAGTTTCCGCATTTCTGTCTGAGCTCGCGGAGATTTACAAGTCACGTACCGGGCGTCGTAAGCTTATAAATCTTTAATGCGCCGTCTTTCAGCGCGCGCCTCCGGGAAATATTGCGCGAGCGATGAGAAAAATGTGGGTCAGATGCGAAGAATGGCGCTGGTAGGATCCTCGAGATATAAGTAGTCGCGGGCACAAAGATCCGACTGTAACGGAAACGTCTTAAGGGCGGTGAAAAGGGTGACACTGAGGTTTTCAAAAGAGAAAAAAGATCGAGCGATCGACGACAGTTAAAGAGGAATCCTGAATTGATTCCGAATCTCAATGTGTCGAAGCGCGTTAGTCTAATTAGTAGAAACGTCAAAAAAATAGCTGAAATGCACCATTAATGTGAAATCTGATAGTTAAATCGGGCGTTTCGTAAAAAAAAAAATCCTACTTTATAATAGATCGATAGCTTTTCATCGGCGAAAGCAACTCGTAGTATTATCTAGATAATCTAAAAGAAATGGCTTCATCTTATTTTTATAGAATATATATAATCTTCATCTGTATCTTAGAGAAATAAGTATTTTTCCAAATTATCTAGATAATTATCTTTTTTTATGAGTAAATTATCTAAGATGAAGATCACTAATTATCTAGATAATTTGAAAAACTTTTTTGTCTAAAATACAAATGAAGATAATATATATTCTAGTAAAGATAAGATGAAGCCATTTCATCTAGATTATCTAGATAATTTCATCTAAATATCAGCAAACACTGCAGCAACTCGATTTCTTTTCACCAATTGAATTTCCCAAATAACTAAATTCCTAATTTATTTTAACTGTATTTTTTAACTCGACTCGATATCGAGATAAAAAAAATAAAAAGATCGTCCACGAGAGAGGAGAAAATGCTCGCTGCTCAAAGAGTCATAGATTCCCAGAGACTCATTTTAGAATCGGGTCTATACAACGTCTCGGTAGCATGAAAGGGTTATCGATACGTATCGCTCGCGACGATAACAGACGATCTGTTAGCAGGTGCTTCAGGTATGAGGCAAGGTATGAATGTCTGGCGCTAAAAGGAAAATGTCATTCGCATAATGCGAACGCTCTCCGTACGGCAGCTTTTGTGCCAAAAGCAGTCCTCGATTCGTTTTCATTCGCATTTATCACCCATCGGATCGTGTGCGAATAAAGGGGAGCCAAAATGCTCTTGGGAAGGTGGAGAACGAGCAGAAGCATTCCCTTCGCGAAAGAAACGCGAAGAAGGATATTACGTAGTGTGACAGGGATTCTCAAACCGCGCAGAAACGTATTCTTCTCTTCGCGTTTTCAAATTGTCAAGCATGAGTCTCAAATAAATTGAAAATATTAAAACACACAATGGAGAAATATAACACTGGAATTGCCGAGTTGGATTGGAGAGAGTCGCTTAAAAAAATTGAACAAAAGATAATCTGCAGAAATAGAACGTCAACCGTATTATTCTTTATTCGAGATTCTATCCTAGAATTAATTTTTATTAAATTAAATATATTATTAATATATTATTAAATCAAGTAAAAAGCACCAAATACAGTCGAGACTTACGGATCTTAATGCTTGATATCTAATATTTCTAATAAATTTTTACATAAATCCTGCAGTTCTTCAAATTGAATGCCGAACACAACAAATCTTTAAAAATGCAATCCTAAATTAAATTAGAATAATAATATCACAATTACATCGTTAATTTAATAATAACGATACTGAGCATCTTGAAATTTATTGCGAAAAATGTATTATTTTAAATATATGTATATAGCTTTTATTTTTCTTAATAATCATAAATTATTCAATAAAGACTCAGTTTCTAAATTATATAGTTTCTAAATTAAGCAATATATATGATTTTTAAATAAATTGAAAATATTAAAGAATAAATGAGAAATATAAAATTAGAGTTACATTAGAGAATAAAAAAAAAGTTGAATTAAGGATAATCACAGACATAAAACTTCAATCTTTTATTCGCGTGCGCGCGCGAAAACTAATATTATTATTTTAAATAATAGAGCTTTCTTATTAATAAATTATTCAGCAGAGATTCAGTTTCTGAACTACTAGGCAATATATATAATTGTTAAATAAATTGATAGAATTAAAGAATAATTGAGGAATATAAAACTGGAGTTAGATTAGAAACAATCGCTAAAAAAAGTTTAATAAAAGGTTAGAGACTTATAAACGTATTATTATATTCAAGTTTCTATCGGAAAACTAATTATGTATCTATTATTATTTTAACCTTTTTTTCTTTCTTATTAATAAATTATATATTAATGTCTTCCGCTTTTTACAATTATCAGAAAAAAGAAGGGAGTTATATATGGAATATCAGTAGATATTCATGCGACGTAACTACTTTTAGTACAAGTTTGCTAGATGCAGAATGTTACCAATTATGCTATAGGTAAAAGTTCTTCGGGTATACAGAACGAACGTAATTTACAAAAAACTGAAAAGCGAAAAAAAGACGCGATTATGGAATAGAAGGAGGGATATGGAATACTACCAACTAATATATATGTAGTATAACTTTATACGCCGGATATACGCACGCACACATAATTTTCGTTAACAAAAGAGGGTAAACTTTCACTTTTTCGCGGTCATTTGGGGATCATTTTGTTTCTACATTTTCTTATACATATATTTTTCTTCGTGGAAATCAAAAGTCATCATTATTATGTTTATAAGAAAAATTAGTTGGTTGAAGCAAGGAATAAAATTCTTATTCACATCGTTACGAAATTGTTGTTAATTACGCTTCAATCATTTAAAAACTAATTCAGAGAGAGATGGATTCTAAATTAGTTTCTAAATAATTGAAACATAACTGATAGCGATTTCGTAACAACGTGATTATGGATTTTAGACTTTATTTCAATGTACATACATTTTTTTCTTGAGTATACACAATTAAAAAATTTGTATTAATTTAATAGAAAATATTTAAATAACATAATCATATTATATTAATTAGCACTCAAATACGTTGAAAATTCAATATAAAATTTTAACAAAGACTTGAATGAACACAAATACAAAATATTTTTACTGTGCACCGTCATTATTGATCATTTTCGGTTTCCAAAGAATGAAGAAAAAAGAATAAAAAAATGTAGAAATAAAACAATTCCCAACAAAACGAACAGTCGCGAAAAAAGTTGTATTCTCCTTCAATTCGATTATATTATTTCAAAGAGCCACATTCAAGGCTTAAGCTATAGAATGAAGTTGCAAAATCTATACTAATATACTTCTCAAAACAAGTCTAAACGGTACCAACTGTAAAACTGTCTGCAGCTGTGTAACCAAATCTACGAAACAGTAATTAATAGCCACGTAACATCGAATCAGACTGTATAGAAGTAATTTTGACGATTACTCCCAGAATACAACGCAAACTACAAGAGATATCATGATATATTCTACAATTCCCCACCTATTCTATAATCGCCTTCTTTCTTCTATATCCTGCGTATTTCAATTTCCGTTACTGTTCCTTTACTACTTTCAGAGTTCCAGTTTTTGTCACGATGCAATTCATATAGGCTTTCTACAATAAGTCATTACTTAAGCTTTAAGTCTTAATATTCTATATGAAAGTTAACCAATTATAATTGATTTTTCTTCTCACATTCGACTGTGATCGGTTAATGTCTTATGATTTAAGACTTAAAACTTACACTGAAAAAAATTTCTGGTTGAAAATGGACGAATCAGAATTTTCTGGTTAAATCTACTAGAATTCTTATTTTTATCAGAATAATTATATCAATCAGAATTCTGATTGATATAATTATTCTGATAAAAATAAGAATTCTAGTAGATTTAACCAGAAAATTCTGATTCGTCCATTTTCCACCAGAATTACTGTTTAATCCAATCAGATCATTTTTCTCAGTGTAAGTATATAATAGCTTATTGTAGAAAGTCCATTAAATCCATTCTACAATTACGTAAACGTAGTTGTAAGGAATTGTAGTTATAAGAATTGACCAATCATAATCGAATATTTTCCGACTGTAATTGATCAAAGAATATTCGACTATAATTGGTCAATTCTTATGTACTTTCTACAATAAGCCATTACCTAACTTTAAGTCTTAAGTCGCAAGAAATTGACCAATCACAGTCGATTATTCTTCTCACATTCGATTATGATTGGTCAATTTCTCTCACCTTAAGACCTAAAACTTAGGTTTATTGTAGAATGCACTTAGGCTCGATTGCGCCAACGTTACTTTAACTTTGAGACTTAAAACTCTCTCCATCTCTGTCTCTATCTTTCTCGACTTTAAAACAGAGAGAAAGAGAATTTTAAAATCAAAATAACGTTGGTGCAATCTTAACAGCTTATTGTAAAAAGCTCGTTGCAACCATTTAACAACTATGCGATTGTAGAACGGACTTTAAACCGAGGATTGCAAATTAGAGATTAAAATTCGACCAATCCAGATAACTTTAAATTTAATCCGTTTCATTCCGATTGACCGAATTATAATCTTCAATTCAATTCGCAAGCCTGAAATCTCCAACGTGTAGTGTGACACGAACTCTAAGCGTTGAGACATCCCGAAGTTTCGTTCCATGATGTACGTGAAAAGAAAAATCGAAGTAGGGACTCACCATTCGATGCTCCTGTATCCCCTGAGGCAGCAGTGAAGAGCCTTGAACGCACCCACGTTCGCGTACTCCATGGTAACGACCTCCTTCGTGAAGCTCAGGCCACCCGGCAAATTGTAGTACTTGTGTATCGAACAGTAATCCTTAATCTCATTGCCGAGACTGATCGTCGACAGTATCGCGAGCGCGATAACGGCCTGCAACTCGCTCGTCGACATTCTCATTTTCGCGTTCGTCATACGTTGCACCACTTTTCGTCGATACGTTTCAACGATCAACGCACTTCCGACACTCGCGAGATTCGCCCGATATCCAGATCGGATTAACGACGTTCGAGAGAGTATCGGGAATCTCCGTCGTTCACGCGAGACGATCGCGCGACTAAATTCACACGGTTCGCGATTCACGAACGACACCGCGTCGGATTCGCCGCGCGCCTCGTTACGTTCTCACAATTAGCGCACCGTCGCGCCATCGAGGCTCGCGACGAGTTCACAACAATGCAACGTGCCGCCGGTGACCCGCAAGTCCGCGTCATGCGTTTCCGCCGCGTTTACCGAACGACGCGCAGACACAC